ATAGAATGTATGTAAGAACAAGTTTTAGCCATATCTTAAGTTTTGCCTAGTTATTAGAAGGAAATAATGTATTTGAATCCAAGAATGTTGAATATTCAGGGGATGTTTATAAATTATAATTAAAGATTGTATTTTTTTGCAATCAACTCTTCTTACATACAGAATCAAAGGCTGGAAAAAGGCACCAAATTTTCAAGATTTTGATAAGCATGTGCAGATTATTCACTTTCTGCTCTGTCCTACATTCGAAATGCGCTTTACCTGAAAAGGGACAGAGGGTTTGTACGTTGTGGCGCGAAAGATAGTTATTTCAAGCGTTCCGTGTAGAAGCTTGCTCTTTTCCGCCATTTTTTCGTCTAGCTTGATAGTCGATCGAAAGTCGAAAAATCTTTATGTATGGACTAAAGAATCAATGGGTCATTTTTTTTTTTTTTTTCCTTAATCTGCGTTGATGGAATGTGTGCATTTATATAAATGGAGTGAGAAAGGGAGAGATGTTATTGTAATGCACGAAACCTTAGGAAACTTGGTCAGCAATAGAAAGGGAGGAAGATTGTGAAGCTACAGATTGTTCAGTCTTAGAGGGAAATCAATCAATAGTCTGCTGTTTTGTTTTTGCTTTAAGCTGGTGTTTTTCAAAGAATTGTTATTACTCTTCATTGTTTATTGTATATAAATTATTAATATTGCACCCTCCATGCCTAAGGGTTAAACATGCATATCACTAATGCCTAGAGTTAATTGCACATTAGGCATGTCTAACGATTAGGTAATGGTACTATAATGCATATTGAAATGTCTGAAAAAAAAAATAATAAAAATATAACCTTTTATAGTATAATTGTTAGTTATGGCAGTTGTGGTGGCCATTTTTGTCTTCAAATAATAACTAGTATAACACCCATGTATTACATGGGTGGGGACGGTGTCTCATCCCGTCATTAAAGTGGGATGGGTATGCGGACAAATCAAATCCAAGATATCCAAACTTATCCAAGCCTAATAACGAAGCATGTAATTTTGCCACATAGGATCCCGAAGCATGCGAGCCTGCCACATAGGCTCAACACGTTCTCAATTAATATATAAGTGAGGATGAAAGAAATTGGAGCAGCCTTGACAAGCTCGCAATGTATTCTCGATTCGCGAACAATTTTTATTTTTATTTTAAAAAAAAAACAAGTAGTACCTAATAATTTTTTATCCTTCGCTTTCTGGTTTCCGGTGATATGTGGCTCACGCTGCCAGTGCTCTCTAGAAGATTCTCAGTCGGAGATAGTGTTGCTACGTTGTACAGAATAGCTTGTTGGTTCGCCGGAGAAGATGATGTCGTGAGTTCCATAAGACGTGATGTGTTTAATTGTGTGTTTAATTGGGACAATTACTTAGGTGTGACTGGATATAAACTAACCTGGTAAAAAATCGATTAAAAAATTTTAACACAACACTACTATCTTCAATATTATCAATATAATTAAATAATATCAACTAATCATACTACTATCTTCAATATTATCAATATAATTAAATAATATCAACTAATCTTTCTTACAGCATCAACTTTAATTTACTATTCATCCACTCACATAATTTTAACTAACCATCACTTCTAATCATTTTTCTCTTAATATTTTACATCAAATCAACTTTAATTATTTTATTTTAAATATTATTTAAATTTAAACTTAAATTTCCACTAATAACTAACCATACCACATTTTTCAAAATTAACTATGGTTAACGAAAAATCAATCAAATTCATATCCAATCACACTCCTATATTATTGGTTTGATTGGAGAGAAGATCCGATTTCTCTACACTAGTATTTGTGTTGAAAAAAATAATTTGAAGATAGGGGAAAAAAACTTGGACCCATCCGAACTATCAAGATTTTCATGCGTTAACATATATATATATATATATATATATTTCTTTACAAACCACCATCTGAACTGTGGGTATGTCACTTTGCTATCTGAAACCAGAATTAAAGTTGTTTTTGTAAGGTTTGTAAAGTTATTTTAGGAATATCGTATATTTTTTAAAAAATAAAAATAAAAAAGAAAAATGAAGAAAGTATTTGTCTGCATGAAAAAAAAAATTAAAAAATAGCCCTTCGCGTTGTTGTACCACATAGCATGACTAAGTACCACAAAACGTGCAACCAATTAAAAGGTATCACGATTTTCAGTCGTCACAATCGCAGGCGACAACCCTCAGCCATCTTCCGTGTAGCCCTTCGTCAGCGTTCTTGTTCAGTCCACGTAGCTTCACCCATCATGAATACTTTTCATGTCTGGCCGCCAAGCTTCCGCCACGAGATCGTCACCATGTGCAACCGAGTGGGGTCTTGGATGAAGTTGTTGGAAATGTCAAGTATCCAAAAACCAACCAAGAAAATGGTTGCGGCAACCGGGTCCGGAGAGGTCCACGGCGAGGAGGGCACCGAAGGAGAGGGAGGCGGTGCCGGAACAATGGTTAGTTGGCTCGTTCCATTTACTTCATTTTTTTATAAAAAATATACAAAATTCCTAAAATGTTCTCGAAAATTAATATTTTTTATTCAGAATCACTTTATATCAGTTTAGGAGGTAAGATGTAAAAACATGGAGTTCGTATAGTTGTTTGTCAAAAAAAAGTAATTAACATGGTAATTTGAGAAAATCGCGATAGTTCGGATGACGAAAAGTAATTTTTCCTATAAATTCATAGCGAAAGGGATTGTTTTAATTTTTAAAAAGGTTTATTGCACCAAATATCCCTGTATTATACGAAATTTGCGCGTTTTACCCTGGTATTTCAAAAATTGTGTCAAACCCCCTTGTATTTAATGTTTACATGCAGACTCGTTCCTTTATGTTAACACCGTTACTTTAATACTGACGGCGTTACTTTTTTATTTAATTTACCATTATACCCTTACTTTATCAATGAATTTGCGATTATACCCTGCTGTCAATATGTAAACTTAAAATTAAAATCTCAAAGGTGGGGATTAAACCCTATACCTTTGGGTTGAAAAAGGCATCTCCCACCAATTGGGCTACTCGACATGTAGTTATAAATGTGATTCTATTTATACATATCTTAACGTATAGAAAATATAAAATAACAATTAATTATAAATAATGTATCAATTAAATATATAGATCTAAGTTATTAATAATTTATTGATTAAGTGTATATATATATAATTAATTTTAAATAATGTAATAGTGAAGAAATATTTTTTAACTTATAAATAATATAATAATTATGTAATTCGATTATAAATTAGTAACATTTAATAATTAAATTAATATATTCTAAATTATAAATAATATAATAATTGAATAAATATATTCTAAATTACTAATATATAATAATTAAATATATTTAAAACCACCACCCGCGGCACACCGTGGACCTCATGGAGCGAGTCTATCCTGTACCGCTTTGACCCAGAAACCACGTATGGGTCCTCTCGTTTTAAATTATAAATATTCTAAATTATAAATGATATAATAATTAATAAAATAGATTATAAATTTTCAAATAATATAATAATTTAATAAACAAATTCTAAATTATAAATAATATAACAATTAAGAAAAAATATTCT